ACAGAGTACACTGTATTAGGGCTAATAAATTTGTTCACCAATATAGAATTAGTGATCATGGTAAAAAAAATATATTTATGTAGGTATGCAATCAACACAAAATCAAAATTAAGGAAATCAATTTACAATAGTATCAATAAAAATAATAGGAATGAGGCTGGGCGCGGTGGCTCACTCCTGTAATCCCTGCTCCCAGCACTTCAGGAGCTCCCAGTCACTTCATTGACCCAATTGCTGTCAATGAGAATGTATTTCTGTTTATGATTTTCATACACAAATTTAATGCCTTTTTCATCTTAACTAAGCACTTATCACACACATGGCTGTACTTTTTAGAGCTTGGGGTGCAACAAACAAGACTAACAGAAATTTCTTTTTCCTTCTTACACTTTCACCTCTAGAGGATTTGTTCTTACCATAGATTTTAGCAACCTGAGCACAGGACTTTCTTTCTTTCTTTTTTTCTTTCGTTCTTCTTTTCTTTTCTTTTCCTTTTTTTCTTTCTTTCTCCTTCCTTCCTTCCTTCCTTCCTTCCTTCCTTCCTTCCTTCCTTCCTTCCTTCCTTCCTTCCTTCCTCCCTCCCTCCCTTCTTCCCTCCCTTCTTCCTTTCTCTCTCTTTCTTTTTTTTCCTCTTTCTTTCTCTTTATTTATTTACTTATTTATTGAGATGGAATCTCACTCTGCCACCCAGGTGGGAGTGCAGTAATGTGATATCGGCTTACTGCAACCTTTGCCTCCCGGGTTCAAGCGATTCTTGTGCCTCTGCCTCCCAAGTAGCTGGGATTAAGGCGCGTGCCACCACGCCTAAATAATTTTTGTATTTTTTGTAGCGATGGGATTTCACCATGTGGGCCAGGCTAGTCTTGAACTCCTGACCTCAAATGATCCACCCGTTTCAGTCTCCCAAAATGCTGGGATTACAGGTGTGAGCCGCCGCGCCTGGCCTGTATATGCAGTTGTATGCTTGCAAACATTTATATGAATCTTGGAGAACATCACGGAAAGATGTTTGTCATCTTGTTAACTGGTTATTTCAAGAGTGGAACTGGAGGGGGAATACTGCCTTTCCTGTATATTTATTTGTAATGTTTCATTTTCAATACGAACATGTGTTATTTTAATATGTTTAAATATTTAAAAAGATAGGCAAAAAATATGTTATTTATTTATTTATTTTTTATTTTTTTTTTTTGAGACGGAGTCTCGCTCTGTCGCCCAGGCTGGAGTGCAGTGGCGCGATCTCGGCTCACTGCAGGCTCCGCCTCCCGGGTTCACGCCATTCTCCTGCCTCAGCCTCCCGAGTAGCTGGGACTACAGGCGCCCACAACCGCGCCCGGCTAATTTTTTTGTATTTTTAGTAGAGACGGGGTTTCACCGTGGTCTCGATCTCCTGACCTTGTGATCCGCCCGCCTCGGCCTCCCAAAGTGCTGGGATTACAGGCGTGAGCCACCGCGCCCGGCAAAAATATGTTATTTTAATTCAAGCTGAAATCGTCAAGGCAATCCTGTATAATTAAATAGAGCAACAAAAACATTTAAAATCCCTGAAGGAAAAGGAGAGGAGGCTGGGCGCGGTGGTTTACGCCTATAATCCCAGCACTTTGGGAGGCCGAGGCGGGCGGATCACTTAGGGTCATAAGTTCGAGACCGGCTTGGCCAACATGGTGAATCCCTGTCTCTACTGAAAATACAAAAATTAGGCGGGCGTGATGGCGGGCATCTGTAATCCCAGCTACTCAGAAGGCTGCGGCGGGAGAATGGCTTGAACCCGGGAGGCGGAGGTTGCAGTGAGCCGAGATCGCGCCACTGCACTCCAGCCTGGGGGACAGAGCAAGACTCCCTAAAATAAAATAAAATAAAATAAAAAGTTTGTGGGACCAATTCCAATCCAGTCCGGGGGAGCTACACACTGGCGACCAACATCACCCCTCAGGCCGCTTCAGGGTCGGGAGAGTGCGCCTGGAACAGACTGGGAAACTCCAGCAGGCAAAGTAAGGTGCCAGGAATAAAGACACCGCCTGACACATTCTCCATTCCCCCTCCGCCTACCCCTCTCCCCACCACACTTCCATCCGCCTCCAACCCTGCCCTCTCCCCAGCAGCCTCAGATTGAAACGTTGTAAGGAAGACACCGATTCTCAAAGTCACAGGCTTAGGAATCTGAGCTACAAAGAAAAATAAGCCCCTGCTTCCCCAACTCCCCGCTACTCCCTTCAGCACTGCTGCCCTGCACCTGTCCCTTCCTCCATAATTTGAACTGTCCTCCCAGAAGCTGGAGAGATGGCCCGCCCGTCAGGAAAGAAAGGACCAGCATGCGGCAAATGCCTGGGGTAGGTAGGAGCAGACGGCGAGATTAGCGCAGGGATGTAAGAAACAAGTGGCTCTCAGACCAAAGAAGACTCTGCGGCAGACGGCACGCTAGGCTTTCATAGGGGCGTGCGCTGGACAGGAGCTCCCGTTACCAAAAGAATTGTCTGAGAAAGGCTCTGACCTGACCCGAAAGGCCCTTGGTTCCCACGGCAACGCCTCAGCGTCTTGCAGTAACAGGCTCTGTGCCCGGACTCTGGGTAGGGGGTCCCGCCTCCGCCAGCCTCTCACAGCCCAGAGGCACTTCCCATTGGCGCCTGATGGGTTAGGGAGACTTTTCTTCCAGCTGTGACAGATCCAGCCTGAGGAGCGCTCCTGGGTCTTAGTTGTTTCTTCCCGCCCACCTGCCACTCAAAGCCACAACCCACTTGCACGCCACCATGTGGACACCTTAAAGCGACCGTCTAGATCTGAACCGCGCTGAGGGAATGAATGGTCAGCTTCGCTCCCATTAGATGGCTTGGCCCAAAGGACCTAGCGACAGCCCGGACAAAAATTTCTTCCTACAAGCTGCATGTGTCTGTGGTATGTAAGCGTCAAAACCAAACCCAAAAGAAAAAGTCAACCCACCACCTAACCCCCCACACACAAAAAAAACCCCAAAAAAACCCGCCACCAACCCACCTTTCACGTGAGGAGTCCTTGAAATAAGATGCAGACAGACATCCTGGCTAACACGGTGAAACCCTGTCTCTACTAAAAATACAAAAAAAAAAAAAAAAAAAAAATTAGCTGGGCGAGGCTGAGGCAGGAGAATGGCGTGAACCCAGGGGGCGGAGCTTGCAGTGAGCAGAGATTGCGCCACTGCACTCCAGCCCGAGGGACAGACCTAGACTCCGTCTCAAAAAAAAAAAAAAAAAAAAAAAAGATGCAGACAGACTGGGAAAGAAGGAAGTTTGTTTCTGCAACCGGTTACGTGGAGAAGGGCCAAGTAACTCACCAGACCAACTCAAAGTTACAAGTTTTTTTCTAGTGCTTATAAACATCTTCAGCTCCATGCTATGGTGGGATTGCACCTACAAGCAGGAGTGTTGCATTCAACCAACATCTAATCTTTAACTAGGGTCTAGGGTCTGGAAAGATTTCTCTAGAGTCTTGGAAAGTTTCTCAATCTTAAGACAGGCTGAGGTGAATGTGTAAAAATGCTATTATTGGCCGGGCGCAGTGGCTCAAGCCTGTAATCCCAGCACTTTGGGAGGCCCAGGCGGGCGGATCACGAGGTAAGGAGATCGAGACCATGCTAGCTAACACGATGAAACCCCGTCTCTGCTAAAAATACAAAATAAATAAATAAATAAAAATAAAAAATAATTTAGCAGGGCATGGTGGCGGTCGCCTGTAGTCCCAGGTACTCGGACAGCTGAGGCAGGAGAATGGCGTGAACCCGGGAGGTGGAGCTTGCAGTGAACGGAGATCGTGCCCCTGCACTCCAGCCTGGGCGACAGAGCAAGACTCCGTCTCAAAAAAAAAAAAAAAAAAAAAAAAAGAATGCTCTTATTCTATCAGACTTTAGGGTCTGAGAAGACTCCATCCCTGATACTCAGGCACCAGTTTCTCCATTTCTTTGACGTTTAACTTATGCTTTCATCAAAATTACAGTCAAGGGTTAGTGTAAACTGTTCTGGTTGCTAAAGGAAACCTGGCCTGCTACACTGCGACCAGAACTAAAGCCCACTATAGAACACTGAAAATACCTGCAAACACTGACTTTTAAATTACAGAAAATCAAGTTCATGCTCCCTCCCAGCTCTGTCCTCCGGAATTGCTAGTTAGAAACGTGCACATTGTCCTAGGTTCAGTTTTGCAAAGACGGAGCCTGTCAGCGAAAGCATTTGTTTGATTTCATGCATTAATGTTTCCTTTGTCCATTTCCGTTTGTTTGTTTGTTTGTTTATTTGAGTTGGAGTTTCGATCCTCTCGCCCAGGCTGGAGCACAATGTCGCTAACTGCAATATCCGCCTCCCGGGTTCAAACGATTCTCCTGCCTCAGCCTCCCAAGTAGTTAGGATTACAGGCATGCGCCACCACGCCCGGCTGACTTTTGTAGTTTTAGTAGAGACGGGGTTTCACCATGTTGCCCAGGATGGTCTCGAACTCCTGAGCTCAGGCAATCCACCCACCTCGGTCTCCCTAAGTATTGGGATTACAGGCGTGAGCCACCGCGCGCGGCCTATTTTATTTTTTTTTTATTTTATTTTAAGACGGAGTCTCACTCTGTCGCCCAGGCTGGAGCGCAGAGGCGCGATCTCGGCTCACTGCAACCTCCGCCTCCCCGGTGCAAGCGATTCTTGTGCCTCTTCCTCCTGAGTAGCTGGGATTACAGGCGCCCGCCACCACGCCTGGCTAATTTTAGTAGTTTTAGTACAGACGGGGGTTTCATCATGTTGGCGGCCGGACTGGTCTCGAACTCCTAAGCTCAAGTGATCCGCCCGCCTCAGCCTCCCAAAGTGCTGGAACTACACGCGTGAGCCACCGCGCCCGGCCCCATTTCCTTTCTTTTATTGTTTTCAGACGGAGTTTCGCTGTTGCCGCCCAGGCTGGAGGGCAGTGGCGCGATCTCGGCTCACTGCAACCTCCACCTCCTGGGTTCAAGCGATTCTCCTGCATCAGCCTGCGGAGTAGCTGGGATTACAGGCACATGCCACCACGCCCAGCTACATTTCCTTTAGTCTATTTTTTTATAATTTACTAGCCTGTTTGTTGATAACAAGACTGGTGGTGCACAAGGTTGGGTCTTGGTGTTCATCGGGCGGCGGGCATGGGCCAGGTGGGAGGGTCTCCACCACCTGGTGCAAATCTCCAAAGTGCAGGAAACACCATCAAGGGTGATTGTAAAGTTCTGGTTTGGCGCGGCGGGTAGGCGTTCCCACGCAGAAATGAGCACGAAAACTTTTGCTGTGGTTGTAGGCAGGTCGGCCCCAAGCGCTTCTTATTGGCTAATGTGGAGAGAACCTGCACACCCATTGGCTGAAATCTCCGTCTAATTGAGGCTGACTGAGAGCTTCCCTTCCTACTGTGTTGCCTGGAAGCGAACTGTCCGCCTAGTAACATCTGATCGCGTTTCCAATTGGTCACCGTTTACGGAAGCCCGCCCTCCCTTTTCCGGAAGCCGGGCGGACGCTGGGGCTGCAGGTGAAGTACAGGTGCACAGTGGGAAGTGTGATTGCGCAGAGTTGGGCTGTTCGGCCAAGCGCCCGCCGGACATGGGACGCTGGAGGGTCAGCGGCGTGAAGTCCTCGCCTTCAGCGTCCACGGCTGGGAAATTGGCTATCGCCACGGCGGGAACTAGGACTCTGGCTGTGTCCCGGCCCTTCCTCATCAGTCCACCGGACTCTTGGGCGCGCGCACTGGCGCGGGTGTAGTTTGCTCACCTCTGACCCGTATTGTCTTGAGATTAAAGGTAAAAACGGGACTTTTTCAGCTCACTCGGGTAAAACGCCCTTGTATTTCTAGGCAGGTGTTTTGTTGCAGAACGCCTCGAGGGGAAGGAGTGACCGGCAGGTTCAGGTTTATTAAATAAAATACATTCCTGGTTTATATTATGTTTATAATGCACCCCAACCTTTAACAAATCTCACGTTTTGCCATTTGTATTCTTTAGTGGACTGTCTCTGATAAGGACAGCCAGTTAAAATGGCATTTTTTTTGTTGTTGCTAATTAAACCAATTTTTAGTTTTGGTGGTTGTCCTAACAGAAGCAACTTGTCAGGCTTTATAAAATCATATTTCTTTTCTTTTTTTTTTTTTTTTTTTTGAGGTGGAGTCTCGCTCTGTCGCCCAGGCTGGAGTGCAGTAGCCGGATCTCAGCTCACTGCAAGCTCCGTCTCCCGGGTTTACACCATTCTCCTGCCTCAGCCTCCCGAGTAGCTGGGACTACAGGCGCCCGCCACCTCGCCCGGCTAGTTTTTTGTATTTTTTAGTAGAGACGGGGTTTCACCGTGTTAGTCAGGATGGTCTCGATCTCCTGACCTCGCGATCCACCCGTCTTGGCCTCCCAAAGTGCTGGGATTACAGGCTTGAGCCACCGCGCCCGGCCTTATAAAATCATATATCTTGTGGGAAATTTCTTTGAAAGGCACAGCGAGTTAGTTTGGAATTGTTTAAAAGGAAGTAATTCCTGGTTTTGATATCTTAGTAGTAGTATTTTCCCCAGTGTCTTTAAAATCTTATTTTTGGAGCACATGTGTAGAGTAACTTTTGTGAAAGAAACAACCAGTTAAGGAGGTTTTGGGATTTCCTTTATGAACTATAATACTGATTTTGATTATTTATTTATTTATTTATTTTGAGACGGAGTTTCGCTCTTGTTGCCCAGACTGGAAGGCAATGGTGCGATCTCGGCTCACTGCAACCTCTGCCTCCCCGGTTCAAGTGATTCTCCTGCCTCAGTCTCGTGAGTAGCTGGGGTTATAGGCATGCGCCACCACGCCCGGCTAATTTTGTATTTTTAGTAGAGGTGGGGTTTCTCCATGTTGGTCAAGCTGGTCTCAAACTCCCGACCTCAGGTGATCTGCCTGCCTCGGCCTCCCAAAGTGCTAGGATTACAGGTGTGAGCCGCCGCACCTGGCCGATTTATATATATACATATAAATCACATTCCTCTAACCAAAATGGGGTGTTTCCTTCCATGTTGAATATAGGCTGTAGACCCCTCGGGTATGGGGCATTGTTAGCAGTGAGACCACAGCAGTTTTCATGTCATCTGACAACATCTCCAAATAGCCTTTGTGGTTGTCACTGCTTCCTAAGACAGTTCCAAGGAACAGTTCCCGGTGATGACTTGCTACTTGCTATTGTTACTTAATGTGTTGAGGTGGCTGTTACAGGCACTGTTACTATGGCAGAAATTACACCAGAATTTAGTGGCTCAAATAATCATTTTATTATGTTTGTGGATTCTCATGCTCATAGTCAGGATTTGAGACAGGGCACAAGGGTAGCCCACTTGTCTCTGTTCCGTGATGTCTGACCTCAGCACGGAAGACTCAACAGCTGGGATCTGGTCGCATTTGGAGGCTTTTCCCTCACAGCTGATACCTGGCTTGGGATGTTGGAAGATGGGGCTCAGCTGGGACTGAGTGCCTGCATGTAGTGTCTCCATATGGCCTTGACTTCCTTAGAGCCTGGCAGCCTCGGGATAGTCGGAATTCTGAGGTGGCACAGGGCTCCAGGGCGGATGCTGAGTGGTCTTTTATGAGGTAGCACAGCAAATCCACCCAGGATCGGGGAGACAGGACATCAATTCTGCCTCTCAAAGGGAGGAGTGGAGAGAAATGTTCAGCCATTATTTAAAACTACCACAGCAACACGCCTATGAATATATCAGAAAAATTAAAGTATCCTGATAGCTGCATTTCTAAGTAACTGGTCTCCTTTGAAATTCTATGAGTTGTGTTTGAAATGCACAGTGTTTGTTCTGGTTTATTGGTTAGGGCAGGACTTTCTCATTTGTTTTAGATCTAACAGCGGTTTAGAAATTGGCCTGTAACTTTTTTTTTTTTTTGGCCTGATTCCTTCTGTTTCTACTGATGCTGTTCTCACCTCAATAGGAATTGGGAGCTTCTTTTGCTATTCTTCTATCTTGGATGCATTGGAAGGTAAGTTTCCTTGTGAACCGTATTTTGGACTCACTTTGTAGGCTTTGACAAATGGCCTTTTTACCCTCCTATCTTGCATTTTCTTTGGATAGTCTCATAGATTCTCAGGGATATTTCCGTATTTTACTATTCATGAGTTTAGAAGTGTGTTTACTTTCCTGAGTTTTCATTTTCTTCCTTTTCTTCTGTCGTATGTAATTTACAGAGCAAATACCCACCAGAGAGGATACTTAAGGGATGTGGAAAGTGAGTTTCTTTGCGCTTATCCAGTGAGGTTGATTTTCAGTCAATGAGCGTTCAGTATATGCCTGGGGCTCTGGCTTTATTTATTAGCTTTCTGATGCCGAACCCGTCAATGAACTTCTCTGTATATTTGATTCATCATGAAATGGTGACACCGAGGGTGGCTGATTTCCAGGTTTACATCAGTTGCCCCAGGGGAAGTGCCTGGCCCTTGTGTGGTTGTTGCTGCTCTAACTTTGCCCTGTTAATTGAAGAAATGCGGCTAGAAACACTTCCTGGGGTGTTGCTGGCATTTACCGTCCTCACAGTTGACAGAGAAGCCCATATTTTCAGCCTGTTCCTCGGCTTTCTGTCATTTCTAAACCATCTCACCCGACCTGGTGTAAGCTTCATTGTGTGTGAGTTTGCAGAGATGTAATTTGGGCCTACACATCTCCTCAAAGCCTAATGCCCACCTCCCACCTCCGGAAAAATCTGGAGCTCAGGACCCATCACCCTCCCCCGCCCACTGCACAACATGGTGGAAACCCCGCCCGGAGTTTGTATGATAGTGGCTTCTCTGGGGTCTTGTTCTCTGTGGGTCTGTCCTGCGCTATAGTGTGTGGAGCCGGGGGGATTTGCCCTGTGTTCCTGAAGGAGGGTCACAAGAACTTGTTGGGCAAATGGTCTGATACTTCTTTTTTTTTGGGGGGGACAGAGTCTCGCTCTGTCTCCCAGGCTGGAGTTCCGTGGCACCGTGTCGGTTAACTGCAACCTCCGTCTCCTGGGTTCTAGCAATTCTCTTGCCTCAGCCTCCAGAGTAGCTGGGATTACAGGTACCCACTACCACGCCCAGCTAATTTTAAAAATATTTTTAGTAGAGACGGGGTTTCACCATGTTGGCCAGGCTGGTCTCGAACTCCTGACCTCAGGTGATCCGCCCGCCTAGGCCTCACCAAGTGCTGGGATTACGGGCGGGCGCCTGGCCAAGGGGCTGATATTTTTTTTTTTTTTTTTTTTTTTTTTTTTTGAGACGGAGTCTCGCTCTGCCGCCCGGGCTGGAGTGCAGTGGCCGAGATCCGGCTCACTGCAAGCTCCGCCTCCCGGGTTCACGCCATTCTCCTGCCTCAGCCTCCCGAGTAGCTGGGACTACAGGCGCCGCCACCTCGCCCGGCTAGTTTTTTGTATTTTTAGTAGAGACGGGGTTTCACCGTGTTAGCCAGGATGGTCTCGATCTCCTGACCTCGTGATCCACCCGTCTCGGCCTCCCAAAGTGCTGGGATTACAGGCTTGAGCCACCGCGCCCGGCCGGGGCTGATATTTCTTAAGGGCTTCCCCCAAGAAGGAAGAAGCCAAACGTACTGAGGCAAATCTTGTTTACATATTCTTCTAGGTCCAGATTTTGAAGAAATCTCTCTAGAGGTTGAACAGGTGAGGCTCACCTTTCAATAGTTACACCAAGAAAGGCCTAGCTGGTGACTTAAGCTATGGTTTTGGGCTGCACGAGAGTGGTCAGGCGGACAGTGGGGAAGTCTACACATAACCCAAAGGGGAAAGAGAAAAGACCCCAAGAAATCAGGGCAAAGTCCCACAGTGTCTGTTTCTTGATGGTGTCACTGGCATGTGGGTTACCTTCCCACTGCGTCCCCCAAAGGACATGAGGCCATAGACTGCAGTGCCCGTGAACAGAGGAGCTGTGGGAGTGGTAGTTTGATCGCTCCCTTCAAACGCACACCCCGGTGTGTGCACGTCTCTTCTGATGCAGCGCCCCAATGGGTAAGCTCTGTGCTTCTCCACACAGTGGATTAAGAGTGGAAACCTTCTCTCTGTTTAGCGCTTGACGGTTTGGTTGTGACCTCAAGTCATGGTGATCAGAGCCAATGATCCTAACAGTTTAAAATTGTTGAGCTTGTGGGTAGGTTTTTGGGAGGTAGCATATGTGTTACCTGGTGTTTGTCATCTGCAGTGGTTTTGTTACTTTTTGCATAGACTGCGGAGAATGTTTACTAATTGCAGATGACAGAGAAATCAGCAGTCACTCTAAAATCCTCCCATTTCTTGGTCTAGAGCTGCTCCTGGATCCTGCAGCAGCGAGGAGACCTGAAGACCAGAGGAAACACAGCAAGTAGGCCCTTTAAACCACTCATCTGTGTTCTCTTCTAATTTATTCTGTTGTATTTTGTTTCCCTCATTTTAAGGGGTTAAAATCATCTTGTTCAGACCTCAGCATATAAAATGAACCATCTGTAGACTTTAGGCTCCAACCATACCCCAAGAGTTGTCTGGTTTGTTTTAAATTACTGCCAGGTTTCAATTGTAGATACCCCCGGAAGGAATATTCCAGATTCCCTGAGTAGTTTCCAGGTTAAAGTCCTATAGGCTTCTTCTGTTTTGAGGAGGAGTTCCTGTCAGAGAAGAACGTGATTTTGGATTTTTAACTTTAATGCTTGTGAAACGCTATAAAAAATAATTTTCTACCCCTAACTTTAAAGTACTGTTAGTGAGAAATTAACATTCCTTCAGGAGGGTTAAACTGCCATTTCAGTTACCCTAATTCCAGATGTTTTGGTTGTTACGACTCTCTAATGTTCATGAAGAAGTGTTTTATATTTTCCCTCAAGATTAATTTTCTTTTTTCTTTTTCTTCTTTTTTTTTTTTTTTAAGGTGGAGTCTTGCTCTGTTGCCCAGTCTGGAGTGTAGTGTGGCAATCTTGGCTCACTGAAAGCTCTGCCTCCCGGGTTCACGCCATTCTCCCCCCTCAGCCCCTGGAGTAGCTGGGACTACAGGCTCCCGCCACCACGCCCGGCTAATTTTGTTTTTGCATTCTTAGTAGAGACAGAGTTTCACCATGTTAGCCAGGATGGGCTCGATCTCCTGACCTCATGATCCGCCCACCTCAGCCTCTCAAAGTGCTGGGATTACAGACATGAGCCACCGCGCCCGGCTGTTTTTTCATTTCTTTTTTTTTTTTTTTTTTTTTTTTTTGAGACAGAGTCTCGCTGTGTCGCCCAGGCTGGAGTGCAGTGGCCGGATCTCAGCTCACTGCAAGCTCTGCCTCCCGGGTTTTTACGCCATTCTCCTGCCTCAGCCTCCTGAGTAGCCAGGACTACAGGCGCCCGCCACCTCGCCCGGCTAGTTTTTTGTATTTTTTAGTAGAGACGGGGTTTCACCGTGTTAGCCAGGATGGTCTCGAACTCCTGACCTCGTGATCCGTCCGTCTCCGCCTCCCAAAGTGCTGGGATTACAGGCTTGAGCCACCGCGCCCGGCCTTGTTTTTTCATTTCTATTATGATTTGTTCTGTGGGTTGTCAGTGACTTAGCGGTATGTTTTTCACATGTTTATAAAGCTGAATAGTTCTGTATGTCAGCTCAGCACCCCTAGTGTCAGCCATGCTCCTCTCCTGCTGTGCATAGATGGGGCCTGTCCACACCCGAATCTCCTGGGTTCCCGCTGTCAGCACCTGAAGGTACCCACCAGATGTGTCTGTCACTTCCCTCCATCCACCTCTCTTGTGGTTCTCGTATTTCTGCCTCCCCAGAGACCATTTCTCTCTAGAGCAGTGGTTTCCAGTAGAAATACAATGCCAGACACATACGTCATTTTACATTTTCTAGTAGTCACTTTAGAAAAGTTAAAAAGAGGCTGGGCACGGTGAACCCAGAATGCAGACTCTGCAGTGAGCCAAGATTGCGCCACTGCACTCCAGCCTGGGCAACAGAGTGAGACTCCGTCTCAAAAAAAAAAAAAAAAAAAAGAAAAGTTACAAAGAAACAGGTGAAATTAGTTTTATTTCACCTAAAATGTTAGCATTATCCAAAATATCACTTCAACATCTTATCAAAATAAAAATTATTAATGAGATGGTTTACAGTCTTTTTTCTTGTTTTGAGACAGGGTCTTGCTTTGTTGCCCAGGCTGAAATGCAATGGCACCAGCATAGCTCACTGCAACCTCAAACTCCTGGGCTCAAGAGATCCTCCTGCCTCAGCCTTCCTAGTAGTTTGGATTACAGGCACACACCACCATGCCACGCCAATTTTTTTTTTTTTTTTTTTTAAAGACAAGGTCTTGCTCTGTCACCCAGGCTGGAGTGCAGTGGCACAATCTCGGCTCACTGCAGCCTCAACCTCCGGGGCTGAAATCCTCCCACCTCAGCCTCCCAAGTAGCTGGGACCACAAACATGCACTACCACGCCTGACTAATTTTTGTATTTTTTTGTTAAGACAGGGTTTCGGCATGTTGTCCAGGCTGGTCTCGAACTCCAGAGCTCAAGTGATCCACCTACCTTGGCCTCTGCAAGTGCTGGGATTACCGGTGTGAGCCACTGCACTCGGCCTAATTTTTTTTTTTCTGAAGAGATGAGGTCTTGCTGTGTTGCCCAGACTGGTCTCAAACTCCTGGCTCAAGCAGTCCTTCCTCCTTGGCCTTCCAAAGTGCTGGGATTACAGATGTGAGCCACCACACATGCCCATTCTTTCTTTTATACTGAGTATTCAGAATTTTTTTAAAATGTGTTTTCCATTTACAGCATTTCTCAGGTTGAACTAGCCATCTTCCAAGTGCTCAGCAGCCACGTGTGGCAAGTGGCTGCCTTGTTGGACAGCACAGCTCTGGAGGGTGATTTTACGTACATCCCCACTGCTCTCTGCCTCCTTTATTCCTGTCCACCCCACACTCCTGCAGTCTGTGACTATCACGTCCCTCTCTCCTCTCTGTCTCTTGTAATCCTTTAATATGGAGAATTATTTCCAATTCCGTAACATCCTGCCTTGATTTTTTTCTGTCTTACATTCAAGGTCACAGTTTTCCTCTCACCCTCATTTCCGTCTTTTCCCATACGATGTGACGTGTCTTTTTGTCTTGGTTGGGCATTTATTTGCAATACAAGAATGATTGTTTTCTTGATACATTAGTGACTTACATACTTTTCATGTTTTTTGAGTACCTCTTTCTTGACAGAATTTCAAATTAATTCTTGAGTTAAACTCTAGAAAGCTTTTTTTTTGAGACGGAGTCTTGCTCTGGCACCCAGGCTGGAGTGCAGTGGTGCGATCTCAGCTCACTTCAACCTCTGCCTTCCAGATTCAAGTGATTCTCCTGCCTCAGCCTCCCGAGTAGCTGGGATTACAGATGTTCACCACCACGCCTGGCTAATTTTTGTCTTTTTAGTAGAGACAGAATTTTGCCATTTTGGCTAGGCTGGTCTTGAACTCCTGACCTCAGGTGATCTGCCTGCCTCAGCCTCCCAAAGTGCTGGGATTATAGGGGTGAGCCACCATGCCCAACCTAGAAAGCTTATTTTATTTTATTATTATAATTTTTTTGAGATGGAGTCTCGTTCTATCGCCCAGGCTGCAGTACAATGGCGTGCCTCAGATCCCTGCAACCTCCGCCTCCTGGGTTCAAGCAGTTCTCCCTGCCTCAGCTTCTCAAGTAGCTGGGATTATAGGTGCCCACCACCATCCCCAGCTCATTTTTGTATTTTTAGTAGAGATGGGGTTTCACCATGTTGGCCAGGCTGGTCTCAAACTCCTGACCTCAGGTGATCCGCCCACCTTGACCTCCCAAAGTGTGAGATTACAGGCGTAAGCCACTACACCCAGTCAGAAAGCTTATTTTAAAAGGTGTATATAGAGCCCCTTATGTTTCTGCTTGATTTTTAAAATAACATATTTAGGTCTATATATTTTAGGATGTGAGATCTCACTGTATGTGTTGCTTTGCATCATTGAACATTTTTGGTAATTATTTTTATTTTCTATGTATTTTAGATATTTCATTAAACTAATACAGAATTTCATATTCAAGGCCAGGCGTAGTGGCTCATGCCTGTTATTCCAGCACTTTGGGAGGCCGAGGCGGGCAGATCACCTGAGGTCAGGGGTTCGAGACCATCCTGGCCAACATGGGAAAACCCCATCTCTACTACAAATACAAAATGAGCCGGGTGTTGTGCTGCATGCCTGTAATCCCAGCTACTTGGGGGGCTGAGGCAAGAGATTCGATTTAACCTGGAGGCGGAGGTTGCAGTGAGCGGAGATCTCGCCACTTCACTCCAGCCTGGACCACAGAGCAAAACTCCTCAAAAAAAAAAAAATAATTTAATATTCGCTCATATCAAAAATGAAAATTTATGTTTACAAATTTCTATCTGAGTGATTATTTTAATGTAGGAAAGGTTCATAAGAAGTGGGTGTAGTGACTCTGTTCTTTCCTATGCTCGAATGGAAAATGATGAGGGGACACGATGTTAGAGCTGCAGGGAGAAGGGGTGGAAAAGAGGGATTCCGGAGTGCCAGGCACGCAGATTTTCTGGAAGGTTTCCATGAGGACTGCTGTGGTTTGAGTGTGTTCCCCGAAGTTCATGTGTGGGAAACTCAACCCCTAAGGCAGCAGCGATGACCAGTGCAGCCTTCAAGAGGTGATTAGGTGGTGAAGGCTCCGCCCTCACGAATGGATGAAGCAGAGTGGGTTAGATGTCTTGGGAGTGGGTTCCTGGTAAAAGGATGAAGTTGGGCCGGGCGCGGTGGCTCAAGCCTGTAATCCCAGCACTTTGGGAGGCCGAGACGGGCGGATCACGAGGTCAGGAGATCGAGACCATCCTGGCTAACACGGTGAAACCCTGTCTCTACTAAAAAATACAAAAAGTAGCCGGGTGAGGTGGCGGGCGCCTGTAGTCCCAGCTACTCAGGAGGCTGAGGCAGGAGAATGGCGTGAACCCGGGAGGCGGAGCTTGCAGTGAGCTGAGATCCGGCCACAGCACTCCAGCCTGGGTGACAGAGCGAGACTCCGTCTCAAAAAAAAAAAAAAAAAAAAAAAAAAAGGATGAGGTTGGCTTCCTCCCTTTCTCTCTTTCCCTTTCTCCCTCTCACATGTGGTCACTCTCTTGTCCTTCCACCTTCCACCATAGGACAGCACAGCAAGACCTTCCCCAGATGCAGGCCCCTCACTTTCCCAGTGTCCAGAACCATAAACCAAGTGAACTTTTGCTTATAAATCACCCAGTCTGTGGTATTCTGTTACAGCAACACAAACGGACTAAGACAGGGACACTCAGTGGGCTCTTCTCTCTGCTTGATGGAGCTCTCCCTGCATGGCACCTTGTATTTGTAGACATGATGCTGTAAATGCTCTTTGAGAGCCTTGAAGGCTTTTATGTTTGAGGAGTTTACAGAGAAGCCCCTACAGGCTTCAGGTCCCTTCTTCTGTTGCTGTTTGCTCCTTAGTACCTCCCCTAACCTGGTGTTAAATTAGGTCATAGTGTGGTCCTTGGGCCAACAGTATCAGTAGCCCTGAAAATCATGCTGGAAATACAGGTTCACAGGCTGCTCCCCAGAATACTGAAGCAGAAACTCTAGGGGTGAGACCCAACAATCTGTATTTAACAAGCCCCCAGGTGAGTCTGATGCACACAGAAACGTGAGCTGCGGCGTTAGATGGTGTTGAGTTCATGCCAACCGAATCACTGACACACACGTCTGTTCACTGCTTGGTCTTTGCACAGTCCCTGGATCCTCCTGGAATCCCCGATCCCTGTTGCTCCCTCGGGGAGGTTTCTAGTCCCTCTGACTTGAAGCATGGCTTTCAGAGCCCGGCGCCACCCAGCTTGGGTATTTGGTGAGTTCTGTGGTCTGCACGTCCATGTTTGTGACATTCTGGGAAGGGTGGCCCAGGCTGTGATTTGCCATCTACTGCTGCGGGCTATGCATGGTATTCAGAAGGGAGGGGAGATGCCGTGTGCGTGTTCTGAAGGGTTTCCCACTGCACAGACCAACCCTTTCCGTAACTATTTGATTTTTACTTTATCTCCTTGTTGACTTCACACTGTCAGTGCAGTTTGTGTAATCATCTCTACGGGGTGATGCAGGCAGATATAAAGTCTGCACGTGTGGGCAAACTCTCCATATCATGTCATTTATTGTCCATCATTACATGTCTATGGTGTCTCGCTCATTTCTCTCATTTTCTGTCATTTTACCTACTTTTACCTGAAGTACAATGACTATTTAATAACTATTATTTCATTTCAATACACCTCTATGGTATTTTTTCACCTCACATTGGACCTTCCTCCCTCACTGGACTTCAATGGTGGGACCTGCAGGTCTCAGGCCTTCTGGGATGTCCCAGTTTTACTTGAATGTTCTCTCTGGCCGGCTCAGGCCGGAGCAGTGGGTGTTGGCGCCACCCTGTGGCTACAGGTGATAAGCCGGCTGTTGTTGACTGATCCCTGTCTTACCTTGAACCCTGGAGTTCTCACATGCGTGGATTTAAACGCTGTATCTTTCTAAGGGCAGATTGTGCCCATTTTCCTTCTCTCCCTCCCAAGGTACTGTTTCCTGTGTTTATTGACTCCCCGTTTTTTTTTTTTTAAAGATATATATATATAGATAGATGAATTAGATTGTACCCCATAAATTGCATGTTTTAAAAATACTTCAAAGAATAGTTTTTCATTTTTTTCTTGCTGATTTTTACCTATCTTCTAAATTGTATATGGGGTATAAAATGATGTGATTTTTCAATGCAGTGTGGAATAAGAATCAAATTAATCTATCCGTTACCTCAAATCCTTGACTTTTTTTTGTGGTGAGAATGCTGTTTATCACTTTCACTCATCAGCTCCTGATGTCTTCCATGCCAGGGACAGAAAAGGCTCCACACTTGACTTTCCCTCCTGTTTTCTTTGTTTTTTTTTTTTTGAGACGGAGTCTTGCTCGGTTGCCCAGGCTGGAGTGCAGTGGCCGGATCTCAGCTCACTGCAAGCTACGCCTCCCGGGTTCACGCCATTCTCCTGCCTCGGCCTCCCGAGTAGCTGGGACTACAGGCGCCCGCCACCTCGCCCGGCTAGTTTTTTGTATATTTTAGTAGAGATGGGGTTTCACCGTGTTAGCCAGGATGGTCTCGATCTCCTGACCTCGTGATCCGCCCATCTCGGCCTCCCAAAGTGCTGGGATTACAGGCTTGAGCCACCGGGCCCGGCCTGCCCTCCTTTTTTCTTATCGCTGTCAACCCCTGAATGTGCCCTCCGGGATTGTCTTCTCCACTTTCTCCACCTAGCCCGATCCTTGTGCGTCTAGCTTCCTCTCAGGGACTGTCCTTAGGGAGTGACTTTATGCACAGACTTCACATGCTCTTCCTGCCTCCTTCATCCCCATAAGCCCCCATCCTAGCCCCATCTGATTATTTCTTCCCTCTCTCATTTCCTGTTATGCTGTTGGTTTTCTAACCTGAAGGGTAACTGCTTACTCCTTAGTTTTTTGCCGTAATTTCTAAATCTTAGGCTACTTTCAGGCTAAAAGTTTTCCTCCAGCCGTGGTTTTAGTCTCATTCTATAAGTCTTGGTAGGTAGTTTATTCATTGGAAATTTTTTGTTTGTTTTTGAGACAGAGTCTTGCTCTATCACCCAGGCTGGAGTGCAGTGGTGCCATCTCGGCTCACTGCAACCTCCGCCTCCTGGGCTCAAGCAATTCTCTTGCCTCAGCCTCCCAAGTAGCTGGGATTATGGATGCGCGCCACCACACCCAGCTAATTTTTGTATTTTTAGTAGAGATTGGGTTTCACCATGTCAGCCAGGTTGGTCTCGAACTCCTGACCTGAAGTGATCTGCCCGCCTCGGCCTCCCAAAATACTGGGATTACAGGCATGAGTCACCGCACCCCGCCCCTTGGCACTATATTTAAGTGATATTTTTGGACACTGAGGTAGCCTCATTCCACAGGTTTAGATCTGAAGCATTTTCACTATTGCTTCTTCCCATGTATCTCCTGGTTTGCAGGTCAGTTTCTTCTTTGAACTCATCAGTGACACATTGGTTTATATGGCTTTTAATTTCTTTTTTTTTTTTTTTTTTTTGAGACGGAGTCTCGCTCTGTCGCCCAGGCTGGAGTGCAGTGGCGCGATTTCGGCTCACTGCAAGCTCCGCCTCCCGGGTTTACGCCATTCTCCTGCCTCAGCCTCCCGAGTAGCTGGGACTACAGGTGCCCGCCACCTCGCCCAGCTAGTGTTTTGTAGTTTTAGTACAGACGGGGTTTCACTGTGTTCGCCAGGATGGTCTCGATCTCCTGACTTCGTGATCCGCCCGTCTCGGCCTCCCAAAGTGCTGGGATTACAGGCTTGCGCCACCGCGCCCGGCCTGTATGGCTTTTAATTTCAAAAAATATTTTTAAAATTTCTTTTTGCTGATTTTTATCTATGTTAATTTTAACTAGACATATTCCCTGCATGGGCACCACTATTTTTTTTCACTGTTTATAATTTAGGTGGATTTTCACATCTCAAGCCAGCTAAGAGTGTGGGAAATAGGACTCCTTAAAGCAGAGGTATCACAAGTGATTCAGATTCATGAGGGTAACACATTTGAGGGTGTATCATTGTACCTGGCCCACAGCACTCAGTAACTCACCTTTATTTATTTATTTATTTTTTTATTTTATTTTATTTTTTTTTGAGACGGAGTCTCGCTCTGTCACCCAGGCTGGAGTGCAGTGGCGCGATCTCGGCTCACTGCAAGCTCCGTCTCCTGGGTTTACGCCATTCTCCTGCCTCAGCCTCCTGAGTAGCTGGGACTACAGGCGCCCGCCACCGCGCCCGGCTAATTTTTTGTATTTTTAGTAGAGACGGGGTTTCACCGTGGTCTCGATCTCCTGACCTTGTGATCCGCCCGCCTCTGCCTCCCAAAGTGCTGGGATTACAGGCGTGAGCCACCGCGCCCGGCTGATTTATTTTTTTATTTGAGATGGAGTTTTGCTCTCCCGAGGCTGGAGTGCAGTGGTGTGATCTCTGCTTACTACTACCTCCGCCTCCCAGGTTCGAGTGATTCTCCTGCCTCAGCCTCTTGAGTAGCTGGGATTACAGGCACCCACCACCACACCTGGCTAATTTTTATATTTTTAGTAGAGATGAGCTTTCACCACGTTGGCCAGGCTGGTCTTGAACCTCAAATGATCTGCCCGCCTTGGCCTCCCAAAGTGCTAGGATTACAGGCGTGAGCCACCGCGCCCAGCCTGTCACCTTGATTTAAATGAATGCAGCTTTCTTAGTGTCTTGATATTTGTGAATATCTGTGGAGTTTGATGCTGCTCCTTTTGCTGCTTGTTCTGTTTTTCCAGGGTCCCCTTATCACTTGGCCTCCTGTTATATTATGTTTGATTTATTACAGATACCCCATCAGCCTGGGTCTCTCTTTACAGCCTTTGTACACATGGGTCTCCACACAGGGATTTGGATTATTCCGGGATCCCACATCCTCACTGTCCCATCCCCTCCACGCCCCCCCCCAATACCTTTCTGAAGTTTTCTAGTCCCTCCTTTTCGTTTGTGCTCCTTAAAGCCCAGTGCCATGCCTGACTTTGATTCCCACTGAGTTCTGTTACAAGCATTCTACATTTGTGGAAATGAAATCTTTGGCCAGGTCATTTACCTGGGCTGGAATAGGGTTCTCGACTGATCCTCCTTCCTAAACACCCACCCAATGGGAGAGGCTGATACTCAACATGCAAACCTTGTTTTTTACTTCTCCAGGAAAGGGGATGTTGGAAGACATTCTGGAACGGGTGGGGTGTGAAGATTTACAAATAATCTTTTTTTTTTTTGAGACAGAGTCTCGCTCTGTCACCCAGGCTGGAGTGCAGTGGCATGATCTTGGCTGAGTGCATGCTCTGCTTCCCGGGTTCACGCCATTCTCCTGCCTCAGCCTCCAGAGTAGCTGGGACTACAGGCGCCCGCCACCAGGCCCGGCTAATTTTTTGTATTTTTAGTAGAGACGGGGTTTCACCATGTTGGCCAGGATGGTCTTGATCTCCTGACCTCGTGATCCACCCACCTAGGCCTGCCAAAGTGCTGGGATTACAGGCTTGAGCCACCGCGCCCGGCCATACAAATCATCTTTGAATATCTGCTTCATGATAGGTCTTGGAGGTGCCTTGTGGGTGTGGCTTGGAGGGATGGTTACAAGGAAATTGTGGATATTAAGGAAGTCAGGAAAGGAAAAGATCACTCACAATTCAACAATTCAGAGAAAGCTCCTAAGGGACTTTCTGGCTGCTTGATGCCCAGAGGCCAGGCCCTCACTTCCTATCAAGGCTCAGGACTTGATAGAGAATTTAAAGGGGCACCAGAAAAACTCGGTAATCAAGATAAATTTTTAATGTAATATATTTAAAAATACAAATTAATGCATAAAGAAAACACCCAGGTTGAACAAAATGGTTACAATTGTGCCTCCTCTTCAACACTACCCCACCCTCCACCCAACCCTCGAGAAGTTTCCTTCAAGTCGAACCTGTAAGATAAAAATAAAAACCTGTAAGAGAAAAGATGAAAATGAGCTGGGCACAGTGGCTCACGCCTGTAATCCCAGCACTTTGGGAGGCCAAGGCAGGTGGATCACTTGAGGTCAGGAATTTGAGAACAGGCTGGGCAATGTGGCAAAACACCATCTCTACTAAAAATACAAAAAATAAATTTTTTAAAAAATTAGCTGAGCATGGTGGCAGGCGTTTGTAATCTCAGCTACTTGGGAGGCTGAGGCAGGAGAATCATTTGAACCCAGGAGGTGGAGGTTGCGGTGAGCCAAGATCGCGCCATTGCACTGCAGCCTGGGAGACAGAGGGAGACTCTGTCTCAGAAACAAAAACAAAAAACAAAAGAAAACACCTTGGGGATTTCTGGCTCAAGCCTCCGATCCTCACCACCACTATCACCAGGGGATCTTTTGCTCTTCACCCAAGTCCAGCCAGCATCCCCTACCTGGGGAAATGTGACCAGACTCTCCCCATCTCCATTCTGGGAGTTTTCCCCAAGCCAATCTTGCTGTCCCTGAAAACAGCCTTGGGGTTCCCTATCCTGGTACACCCTCCTACTCTAGGGGACACAGGGGTGGTGTCACCCCCAAACTGGGAGCCCTGAGGGAGCATCACCTCTCCCTGAGCCGCTTCTGCCCCAACCTGGCATCTGCTCGGGAAGGGCGCACCAGGGTGGAGACTTGCGTGGTGAGCTCAGCTCACCTGCAGGTGAAGGTCAGCACACAGTGGCCACCCGGGACTGCATTTTCCAGAATCCTTCGGCGGTCCTGCGATGCTCTGACAGTCACCAGATCTCATTGGCTTGCAGAGGAGAAACTTGTCCATGTCACTTGGGCATCTTAACAGTGGGCTCCTAAGCTTGGTTGTGTGCGCTGTGCAGATGTCCGAGGCACCCTGTGTGGGCAAAGCCAACTGCTTGCCTGCCTCTCTAGCTCCAAAACAATCCCCAGAGGCCTCTGCGGTTACATCCACTACCCCCCCTACACACCTTACGTGTGTCCTGTTAATGTCAGAAGCACTTCTGATCCGTGGCCCCGGCTGGTTGGCATCCGGGGAGGCCTCCCTCCAGGTCTTCCCCACACCTCCGCACCTCGTTACCTGACCGGCTTCAGGATCCACAGCATGCAGCTGCGTTCCATGAGTGCCCTATAGGCAGGCAGCATGCCCCTCTGTGCGTCCCTGTTACTCATGGGGACTCAGGCTGGGAGCCGTAGATCTGTCTCAGAACTCGGGTGCTCTCCTGTGGGCACCCCATTTTCCTTTCACTGGAGCCCACAGGGTTAGAGACAAACCCTCACTCTGTTGCTTGGGGACAAGGGCTTCACTCCCTGGCCCGAGCTTGGGGCTGAGCTTGAGGGTGTTGGGTCATCCTGGGCCCCCTCTGGATGGGAATTGGCTGCCCTGGTGATTTCTGTGACATCCCCGACCCCAACTGTGGGGCTGTGGAGCGGACTCTGCTTCACCTTGTGGGGAGGGGGTTTCCACCTGAGAGTCAAAAAAGAGGTCAGAGTTACCTGTAATTCCATCTTGGATGTCAGCAGAATGGATCCCGTTACCTTTTCTTGCCCTGGAGGCTGCCTTGTTGGTACTGGGGAAAGTTCATTCTAGTTCTGGAAGAGCGGCTCATTCGAACAGGGGTCCTCCCTCAGCATTCCTTTCTGCTCCATCCGTACCGCAGTCACTCATGAAGTAGTTAATGGTAAACACACATGGAACAGTTTAAATAAAAGTACAGAGATGTGTGCGATGAATTGTTCAGTGATGTGGATGAAGGGCAGGGACAGCAGAGATGCCTGTGATTTCAAGTGGGTGGGGAGGACTCCCAGAAGTAGGGCTGTCTCAGCTGCCCCTGAGCAATTTGGTACCTTGGAAGTCCGGGGGAAGGCATTCCAGTGGGAGGCAGAAGGACGCCTAGTCTCAGAGGCTGGGCTCTTGCTAGTGTGGACAGATTATGGTGGCCAAGGGCCTTCCTAAGGTTGATTTTTAAATATGCTTCGGTGAAGATACAGACTAGCTGTTCACACATAGAACAAGGAGAAGCTTGATATGGGCTGACCTCTGCTCACCACAACCTCTGCCACCAGGGTTCAAGCGATTCTCCTGCCTCAGCCTCCCAAATAGCTGGGATTTACAGGTGTGTGCCACCATGACCAGCTAATGTTCTTGTACTTCTTTTTTTAGTAGAGACAGTTTCACCATATTGGTCAGGCTGGTGTCGATCCCCTGACCTCAGGTGATCCACCCGCCTCGGCCTCCCAAACTGCTGGGATTACAAGTGTGAGACACCTCACTTGGCCAGTCTGCACTGTTTCTTAGTGTCAGTTAATGTCTTTCTCATTCGGATGTGACCTTCAGGGTCTAATTTTTGTATTTTTAGTATAGCCAAGGTTTCATCATGTTGGCCAGGCTGGTCTCGAACACCTAACCTCTTGTGATCCATCCGCCTCAGCCTCCCACAGGGCTGAGATTACAGGCATGAGCCAGTGCTTGACCTTGCCTGGCTAATTCTTTGGATTTTTCAAGAGGCGGGGTTTCACCATGTTGGCTGGGATGGTCTTGGATTTCTTAACCTTGTGATCCGCCCGCCTCAGCCTCCCAAAAAGGGATTACA